CTGTAACTTTAAAAACTAGAAGGCTTCATTGCAACAGTGGTCTTCCATATGAAGAAGGGGACGTTAAAAGAATTAACAGGAAAAGAGTTTTTAAAGTAATAGTGGTTCCCTCAACAGGAACAGAAGATTCAGTGTATTTGTCTCAACTTAGTGCTTTCAGATGAGTTGGACCAATGAGCTGGAGATCATTGTCAGTCATATTTACTTGTAGCCAAACTTTATAGACTGGGGAGAACAGTTAAATTCTCAAAACAGTTACAGATGCTCAATTTTCAGCTTCCCCTTTGCCGTGTTCCTCGCTGGCTATATTCTAGGGCTATATCCATACTTAACGGTTAGCTGAGATTTTTAACCATCGTATCGGATAATGCTGTACTGATAATGGGCAGGTTCACATGTGGTGCTAATTAAAAACAAGCCAACCACATTCTTTGCAGGACATGAATCCTACAGAAGTGTGAACCTCTGCAGTTTACTTTTGCTTCTTTTCTCATTTTTTCACAGTAAGACCATTTGAGCCTCTGTTCCACATCAGTTGAAGAAGTATTATACAGTTACAAAGGAAAAAGATTCAATTTCGTTCAATCTCAAGCCCTTTCAGTATGCATACATGCACACGCACCCATACACACAGACAAAGATCATTCGAGTGATCTTCAGGCATTGTTCCCTTAGTAGGCTTTAAGTGGCATATATGAAATTCCATCATTTTTGCTGTCCATACTGAAAAGCCAATGCAATTATTATTCTTGAAAAGAATAAGATGATTATCTAGTGCCAGTTTATGGCAGCCAACATTTGTAGGCTTGAAGGCAGGGTTGTCTGTCAGGGATGGTCAAGATGGTGGCCATGACAGTGCAATTGAAGCTCTACCTATTTTTTACACATATCACGTACTCTGGGGATACCCCTGCTTGAAGACCTGCAACTATTGTGTGGCTAAATGTCCACTTCATTTGTATTCCTTCTTCAAATATCTCCTTGTCTACAGTACCTACCAACCTGCTGCTTTTTTAAAAAGTTCTGTTTTCTTTACCCCATGTAGGATCTGCCACACTTTATTCCAAGGCAGACTCTTCTCTGCACATTGCTGAGTTGCCCCCATCACTCTCATACTTTTACTACAGGGCACAGCCATAGAGTCACATGTTGTGCCTACATTCCTCTCCACCCTCCCCCCTGCCCCCCCCCTGCCCCC